CACAGCACGCCACATCCAATGGGTCTCTAATGGGCTCACATGTGACGCATCATCTGGGCTGGTCGTTTGGACGCCAATATCAACTTGATATCGTCCAACACCATCTCCACGGCTAGGCCTTGTCCCAGGCATGAAGCCGGGTCAAAAGGTCAACACAGTGTGCTTTTTTCCTGGACGTTGTGTGATGATGCTATCTCCTTTTCCTACAGCCTGGGTATAGGGGGCTGAGGGCTCCAGATGATAATGTGGAGTAAACAGTGTTAAAGGCCTCTCGAAATGTCTAAATACTCTGAGTGATGGGCTCCTTCCTGACCAGAAGCTTCTGCCAAAGCGATTTTTTAACAAAAGAGATTTTTATTTTGTTTTAGTTGGAAAGAAGAGACACCAGATACGTCTGTTCACCAATCAGGATATTGCAAAGTTTGAATCAAAATCTGTTGTTGGGGTTTTTTCCTTGGAGCAAGGCCAATGCCACCCCCACACTGTGACATACAATTTTATTTTGAATTTAAAACAACTTTTCAGGTGTTTTAAGTTTTGAATATTATTATTACTCTTATTGAAATAATCCAGACTTGCATCTCCCTGGTAAAATTAGACGTTTTATTCCATACTTTAGCTAGACTCAAAGTCACCATGACATTATTTTCTTTTTAAGTGCATTTGGAGATTAATTTGGACAATTGTTCTCCTGTTTGCAATAAACCACAGCCAGCCATATGTGCCATTAACCTTTTTGTACCCACACCAGCTTGTCTTTAAACCTGATAACCGTCGTTTAGAGATGAACATTTAGCCACACGACCTTCCAACTGGAACAGCGCCTCCTTCCCTCCCTCCCTCCCCACGCACCCCGCTGGCCTCTCTCATAATCAGCTGCATCCTGCTGCCTCTTGGAGGAAGGAATGTGACATAAAATGTTTACGCACCACATGCTGTGGGACTCATTTCAGATACAACACAAGCTTTGGGATAAAACAGGAAGATTGTTTAATCTTGATTTTATTCAAAGCTGGGTATGCATAAATTAATTAAAATTCTGTTTTTGGAGCATAACAAATGGCATCAGATTTTGTAAGATAATTTCAATAATTATAAGGTGAAGGCTTTCCCGTTTAAAATATGTATTAACTATATATAAACGTAATCATAACGCCGCAATTTCATTTTCCATTTAAAAGGCAGAAATCCATAATTGCGTGCCATCTCTTCCTCCTTTGCTTGCAGAAAACATGAGCAAACACAAATCTGGAGATAAAGCATTGATGAATGGAGTGTATTTGCCTGTGTGCTTGATTCAAATTGGTTTTATGTTGACATTTTGAGTCTATTTAGAGAAACAGCCCCACTTCAGATGAGCATTAATCTGATTAAGAGCACAATTTATTTGGGTTTCTGTGCTCAATAGAAACTCTTCCTGTTCAGCGCGCGGCCTGCCAATGAAGCAGAAGACCTCGATGAATAGCCAACAGCTGTGTATATAGAACGAGTACATTTCCTCAAAAAAAAAACAGCCTGTTTCAGTAAAACATTGAGTCATTGCTCACACACTATTCACATATGTGCAAGTACAGTATTTGAAATTCTGTTTTTTTTCCTTCTAAATAACAGATTGATTACCAAGAAGGGATCTTTCTCTATAAAATATTGCATATACATATATTTTTTTAAGTGTTACAGCCAGCTGGGTGGTAGGAATTGTACTGCATGTGTTGTGTTTTCTTAAGTTCTTACTAACATACCTAATTAAGCTCTTGAGTGGGCAATGCCATTTCAATTTCACTCAAAAAGAAATGGTTTTAAGAGATGAGACTCCGGAGCCAAGGAGCTGCCCGGCTTTTGTGGAAATGTGCGACACTGATCTTAGTTTAGGCACGGAACATGTCGTAAATCACATCCATACAATTTCCATGTGTAAATCTTGTTTTTTTTACTAGCAGCATCTGTTTCCAGCCATGATTGCCCCGTGGAGCATTGTACCTTTTTCTTTGGGACGATATTTCAATATCAAGCATACATTTGAGTCAGTCAATTTATAGGCCATTAAAAAAGGACAGTTGTCCGAAACTAAAAATGAGTATTTTTTCTTTTTTATCTTAACAGATTTCAGGTTGAGAAACGCAAAGCCAATTATAATGGCAGTAAAGATGTCTCCTTCAAACTGACAGCTCCCAAACCTCAGTTCATAAACCTGTCTCGGGAGTATGTGCATGGCTGAGACACGGTCTAACTACTTGGCCAGCGGGGCAATGGAAAATGTTCCTGCATGACTTTATTTTTCACTGTTGATGGTGCATTTGAGAGAGCGAATGCACAAGTATGGTTTATACATTTCCATGAAACAACAATCAGATGCAGAAAATTCAGCCGTTTCTTATTTGGTTTCGTCTTGGCACCCGTTGGCTTTCCCATGGCCTGCCCTGAGAATGTGTTCAATATGCAAAGTAAATGCGAGATTATATTCAAAAGGATAATAAACAATTTGTGTTTGTTCTCCCCTAAACATTTAAACACCCAACCCAACATCCAAGATTCCAAAAAGGCTGCGTCAGGGTAACCATAGTGCTGCAATTTGGATAAACGGCAAAGATGAAAGCCGAATTACGTTTTTACATGCCTTCTAGACTGCTTGCACATTTTTCTGAAGGCACAAATGTCTGGGTTTGTAATTACACACTAAATGCTGGGTTTTTTCCGAGGAAGTATGTGTCGCTGCACAAACATTAAACCCTTCTGAGAATGGGTACGTTGCACAAAGCACGTCGCAAGATTTGGAGTACCTACTCAGTCGCCCTTGATGACAACAGAGCTATTAGAATAATCAACGGACACTTGGCACAAGTGTTATACGTCTATGATTTTCTCTCCTCACATTGTTTCATACTAATCATTTGGAGGTCTCAAGGTTTCTTTTCAAAGTGAATGGAAAGTAAATAAATAACTTTACTCATGTACTATACTCAAGTACACTTATGAGGTATTTGTGCTTTACTTCCATTATTTGCTGTCTGTATTTCCCTTCCACTACATTAAAGAGGAAAATATACTTTTTTTAAATTAAAAAGTCATTTTGATTGGGCGATTTGATTAATTAGATTTAATAGATTCAGTTAAAAAATAAATTAACCTTAGTAGCTGGTATAAACAATTTGTACAGATTAAGCTACCCAACAGTATACAAGTAAGAATATTATCTACTTAAAAGTAGCTCCATGTTGAAAAACACTAGATTAAAGTTACATAAAATAACTTTTGATAAAGTATATATTCCTGAAAATACATATGTAATTAATTAGACTTCAAAAGAGGAGTTAGGATTTGCAGTATATCTTACTTATTCTTAAGGAAATAATCTGAATACTTCCTCCACCATAATACATTAAGAAAACAAGTCAATAATGTTATATAATATAACACTCCACGTGGCTAATTTTGTGTAATGGGAATTTTGTATACTTTCCATTAATTGTACTTTGAATGATGGACCTTAACTTTTAGCTACATTTATTGTTTACTTGAGAATTTGATCTGAGTATTTCTCCAAAACTGGGAAAAACTATCAATCGGAGAAGTAAAATCAAAAACCTGCTTTTTTGTGTGGAAGAAATGTCTATTGCCCTGTCACGTTAATCATGTCTGACCCCTCAAATTCATCTCTGTTGGGGGTCCGGACCAAGAGGGTGGGGACCTCTATGTAGTTACTAGGCTGTCAGATTGTCCTTTTCATAACTGTTTAAATACATAAATTAATTAATAAAATGTGCTATAGGTATTCTAGTAACTTTTAGCATTACATTTGTCATGAAAAGAAAGAGACATGACTTCTTTAACATAATTATTCTCCCAGTATTTGTCTTCGATAAGAAGGAGAGTGAAGCCATTTGACCTCTATGAGGGAATGCTGGGTGCCATCACAGTCGGTTTGAGGGGGTCGAACATCTCTCCAGTGTCAAGGAGACAGAGAAAAGACACAGGGTGTGATTTGTTAAATGCGGGACACCCCCATGTATTGTTTCGACAACATGGGGGACATCTGGTGCTGGCAATACAGCCCAGTGTCGAGGTCTCCATCCTCTTTCTCAAGCAGTGAGCTGTGCAGCATTGAAGCACTGCCTGCACATTCTCATGCTAATACTCAAAAGGCAAGAGCAGATGTGAAACATTTGGTTCTGTTCTTGTTCACTTGTAAAGAAATAATGCGCCCCGTTATCATTATTTCACTTTTTTTGTTCTTCTGCATGTCGTAAAAAGAGTCTGTGGTGGAGGACATCTTCTTTGGTGGCCTAACTTCAGCTGCATGTGGAGAAACGGTCCCACGAGTGTTTTGAAGAACTGAGGGTAGATTTATTTTGGCATCCTTAAACAAGCTGCATTCGAAAAATGTTGGGACGATGCACCAAACAAACATATTTATAAAATTATCCTGGCAAGCTTGACAGCCGCTTCTGTCTGTTTGTAAACAGAGATGGTGTTTGTGTGTTTGGATGTTTTTTAGCATGACTTTTTCAAGTTTCAGCAATCAATAACCTATTTTGTTGGATGGTTAAGTGTTTATTGTGTTTGATTATACTGTATATGTTAACTCTTTTGCACAAGTAATAGGAATTAAATAAATAAAAACTAAATGTTTATTTCAAGTAGAATTTCATTTAAATAAAGGATAAACTTAATATTGAAATATGTGTGTCTACATTTTACAAATTTGCAAAGGTGCTTGTGTTATGTTACTTGTATATTATTGTATTTTCAAAAGTGTATCTTTGCAGCATTTATATCCACTTCACAACTTTATTTTTGCACATGGAAATTCCCTTTAATTCGCCTGAGATGTTGGGTGTATCAGTGTCTCCTCCCACCTGGAACATCATTGGCTCATGTCTGCTTCTCTCTTCATCTCATTGGCCGAGGAGGTGCCAGTCAAGCAACCTGACATGCGAGGCAAGTTTACAACTCTATACACGTGCGGGTGGTACATCGGGGCTGGTGGTGGCATCCTACAGAGAGCAAGGAAAGAAGAGAGAGTGTCACCTGAGTGCGTACATCGTTGCAGAAGTAACTGCGGGTGGTTATTTTTGGCTGTTCTTGGTCAGTCTGGGCGTCATCTTTCTCACCTGTGCTGCCTGCAGGTATCATTTGTTGTCTTTTTTGGAGGTGTTATCCACAGCACACCGTGGATGAAGAAGCCTCACTCCTCGGTTTCTTCATGGCAAGGAGAGTCAATATTGTGTGCCTAGCATGGCTGCGGCTCCTGCACCGACCTCCCTGGGACCGGTATGGCTTTTAGCCGCATCAGTAAACTGGACCCCCCTTGCCGAGGCATCTTCAGGAAAGCGGCGGTCATGCTGTGCACCCTCTTCACCTCCCTCTTCCTTCTGCACTGCCTCACCGCCCGCTGCAGCACCACTTCACCAGTTAAGGCGTCCTCCGGCCGGGCTGCGGGGCTCTTCGAGGACTTTAGGTCAATGAGGACTAAAAGACTTGCGTACCAGTGGACACCCGGGTCGGAGCTTACGGGCTACGGGGTCGCCAGGCGCTCTTCACGGGTTCTCGCGGATGAGCGCTCGGGGCAGGTATCCGAACTGCCCGAGGAGGAGTCTTTCATCTTGCCGCCACCGGATTTAGTTGCTTCCCGGAAAGTGTCGCCGAGGTTCGCAGGTAAACTCAGTCCGCTCGGGGAGGGGAGCAAGAAACTGCCCCAAGCTCTCATCATCGGGGTGAAGAAAGGAGGGACCCGGGCTCTGCTGGAGTTTCTCCGGGTTCATCCGGACATCAGAGCCGTGGGAGCGGAGCCGCACTTCTTCGACCGAAACTATGACAACGGACTGGAGTGGTACAGGTGAATAATTAATTATGCTGATTAATAACATTTGCTTTCAAAACCTAGTGAACATCTGAATTTAAACTATTTTTAGACCCATGTTTATTAAGCATAAAATAATATAGGCTACTATCAAACTGAGGTACAATAGCCTACTATATGAAAATGCCTAAATGAATTAATGTCCCTCTTTTAATAGGCTCAACTTCTGTATATTGTTATTAGTCATTAAATTGCCATGATGATAGATTGTGTTTATCCAACTTTTTATTATGCCTATACTACTCCCTCACTGAAAGATTAGTCTACACAACTCAGAAATCTTTATTTAACATCTCAACATCCAAAACTGCTGCTGGATAAAGCCTGTTGATTTATTACTCTACATTAGGCCTGCTTTCATTAGATGTTATCAGGCAGCTCATTCTGTTGCACATTTTAGGGTTGACTGCCTCTAAGTGGCTTTGGTCGGGCCATAGTGCAATCATGGTTTGTTGCTTGATTAGGCTGGGAAATAAGACAAGGATTCAAGTTTTAAAAAATCTAAACAAGTTTCAATTTACATTTTCTCAGCCGAAACATCAAAACATCAAACAATGCCCTCTAAAACTTCATACAACTACACGTGCTCGGAAAACTCAAACCGGTTTTACCCTATGTTTAATTTTTTTTTAAATCCTACTTAATTTAGTTCAAATTAGGTTAATTGTAAAGAAAACTGTGCTAAATATTCAATCGGTACGTTTTTTTAGAACTTTTTATAAGATTTATTTCCTTTGTTTAACCAACCCTTCAATTAAACCTAGACATAAATCGTATTTTTTGCAATTTCTTTTTTATTATTGTTAATATGCAAATCAACAAGTTTTCCTTGCAAGTTACAAGAAGCCTAAATTAAGCTTCTAATCTAGAAAATTAAATAAATAAACGTAATGCTTAAATGTGCCGACCACTAAGTGTATAACAAAAGTTTAAAGAGGAATCATTTACTGCAGATAAATGAAGAGTAAATTGTGCCGAAATAGTAATTTGCAGCATTAAACACTTTATATCATGTCGCCTTTTTTTTAACATCTTTTAAGGTCAAAAGCAGAAGTTTAGTTTTGTTCATCCTTTATTTCAGTATGGGCTTTTATAGCATCGTTTCCAGCCTCACCCAACAAAAGTGCAACTTTAGAGAAACTCTCATCCCACATAAACACACATTTATTTTCTGTCAAGGTCCCTATCCCCGTGTGGAGAAATATGCTGCATTTTCCTTGCTCAAGGTGTGTGTGTGTGTGTGTGTGTGTGTGTGTGTGTGTGTGTGTGTGTGTGTGTGTGTGTGTGTGTGTGTGTGTGTGTGTGTGTGTGTGTGTGTGTGTGTGTGTGTGTGTGTGTGTGTGTGTGTGTGTGTGTGTGTGTGTGTGTGTGTGTGTGTGTGTGTGTTGTGTGTGTGTGTGTGTGTGTGTGTGTGTGTGTGTGTGTGTGTGGAATAATGTCTCTCCCTCTCAGTGGTTCTCTGTCTAATGGGGCATTGCCGCTCTGTTATTAAGAAGGATTAGGGCCATAATGAAAGGTTACCTGAGTGTCTCAGGAGGTATAATTCACCTTTTGATTGAGTTAACACTACACACAGCATCCTCTAAAAGCCTGGAGACAAAACTTTTACTCTCCCTCACTGACAACTCCCTCCAGACCCTTCTCGCTCACCCCCCCTCCTCCCCCGAACACTCTGGCTCTCTCCCATCTCCCACTCACACACCTCCCTCTTTGTGCCTCTCTGAGAGTGAACATTCTCTTTTCGCCATCACTCTTTCACACCCTTCTGTTTACCTATTCATCCATTGTGGGGTTTTATATCCATGAGGGTCCCATCTATCCCGAGGAGTTGCCAAGATTCTCTGGAATTTGGACCATGCCTCGAAGGACAGACCTTAGTGCCGGTTCCCCTTAATGCCGTCCATTTAAAACAGAAGGAGCCTTGAATTGAAAAGAGGAATAAATAACTGTTGCAACAGCATGGCCCACTCTGCGGGAGTTCATCTTGTCACCTCTCCTCAACAACGTCTGAGAGTCTTCCTGTTGATGGTTTTTGTGGAAGCTTTTGAAGATGTTGGCTTGAGGTCATGTAAAGGTATTTTTCTGTTTACTCTTTGAAAGCAGGAAATCAGCCTGATTGCATCAACCCCTCGTCATCAAATGGCCACAATCTTGGTTCCGCAAAGCAATAATAACTGTGCCAATGCCGAAGATTTCATGGCTGCACGAACATTGAAAACAGACTATTGTTTTCTTTATATTTAAAATTGTCAAAACTTAAGAACAAACTCTCAACTGCTAGCAGTATAGCCAGTATATTGCTGTCCTTCAAAATAAAATACAAATTAAACAACTATCTGTAAACAAGACCCGATTTTCTGTGAATAATCACCAAGTCCAATTTGCTTGAGTTATGCGATTCCTTTCATTAGCTGCAGTGAATACTTAAAACGTAGAAGCTCCTGTCTCAGGAGACTCTTTGTTTATTGTCGAGGCCGATATGTGTCCCTCCGCATGAATCACTGGTCTCCATGTCCCTATGGGAATGTGTACTGTAACACCTCTAAGCTCTTTATGTGACGTGGCAACATCTCCCTACTTTTCCAGCTTTCTCAGTATTAAACTTGTCTGGCTTGTTATGGGAATTTCCACCAACTGCCCTAAAAACTCCACGGCGCACACCCAAAGCTATGATGCAAAAAGCTTTGATTTACTGAGGATAAAATGTCCCCGTTTGACAGAATGGCTGTCAGAGCATGAAACATTGGAAGCTTTTTAATTTCTCTTTTATGTGGTCTAAGACTCCAAAGAGTTGGATAAAAGTTTCTCTTCCCCCGTGCATTTCTTCAATTCTTGGTAACGGCTTTATATTCCTTTTTTATAATTTCGCTGTTGAGTTTTAAACTTAAAACATAATTTTAGCTCCGTGAATTTAATGTGTGTCTTGCTTTTCCTGCCCTTTTGACGTTGAGTAAATGTAAACCTTTTGTCAAACAGGAAACCAACACCCCGTCTGTCAGTGTTACATTTCCCTGCACATTTCTCAGCAGTGTATCCGTATAATCACGTACAACCTGTTAGGCTTTTGTTGTGGAAATGGACACTCGGAGTGAACAAGGAGGTCGCGCACAAACACTGTGAACTACAGCAGAGGTCCAGGCTATAGAGTGCTCAGTATTATGTTTTTGGCCTACTTGTGTTACTGAACACCCGGCTTTCACCTGTCTAGACCCAACCGCAGTTCCTGTTTGATGTCTGCAGAGCGGTTGGATTAGGCTTCACCAGATCCCTTAATGGGTTAATTATCCTTCATAAAAACATGCGTGACCCGTTAAACACAAGGGCAAAGTGCCACCAAGTCCGCCACACGCAACTTCGTCTAGATGCAAACCAAACACAAGGAATAATTACACACACACACACACACACACACACACACACACACACACACACACGATCTTTGTGTTCCCTACAGTCTACAATACATAGACCTTAAACAGACACACAAAAAATTCCAATAAATCCAGGAAATCAATAGGTGTATGGCAGCTTATATATCAGCAAATATTTTGTGTAAAGTGAATCACTTAGTGTATCCATGTCAGCGCCTCTTTACTTATTTTCCTAGATGTATTTGATACTTAAAACCATGCTTAACTAGAAAAGCAGAGAAGTCACATTGAATTAAGGGTTTCCCTCTTTATAAAACTGGCGTTGTTTGGAAGAAAGTTCTGTAATGGTAATAAAAAACGGCTCTTGATCATAAAAGTAGTGAGGATTTATGTTAGAAAGCGGCAATGTCGGGCTGATTTATAATTCTGTGCCGTACAGCATGTGGTACAGTCCGAGTGGCAGGACGGCTCCAAACAGTGAATCTAGATTATTTATTTGTGTAACTGAAATGTAAAAAAATGAAGATCCAGATGTACAGGATAATATGTAATAATAAAAAAAAAAATCTTCATTACTTATTAGCATTTTTCCTACTTCAGGCTAACCAGTAAAGATTGTTGACCCAACTTCATTAGGAAGTACTTTACTTGGCAATTAAGAAAATAAAGACACGTTTGTGCTGACGGTGAAAAGCTGTTGAATTCTCTTTGAAATGAGGGCGACTTGCTGTTTCTCTGTTGGCTGTGTTTAGAGTGTGCGGCAATTATTTGGGTGGCAGATTGAAACTCTGGCCTTGTTCGCTGCTGCCTGACTTTTCACTTGTCATTCTGAGTGTGGAGAGTTTTAGGACTGGTGGAAAGCATGACACAATTCCAACAGGGAGTGGCTTGATGTTAATAGTGAAGAATTTACTTAAGACTTCTTCAGTTATGTGTTTTTATAGGACGATAAGCTTGTTGTTGCAGTCGCTTTAAGGCAGCGTCCACACGATAAAGGCCTTTGCACACCAGGAGTGTGACGGATAAACAACACAAAAGTGCTAAATGCTTGCCTGTAAATATTATATGTCTGTGGTTTTTAGTGTGCAACGTAAAAATGAAAAGACTTGATATGTTATGTGCTGCCTTTGTGAAGGTTGAAATTAGTTGTACGGTTTCAGTCTATGGAGCGTCCGTCTAGTCATTTTACAGTTCTCATACATTTAGGCGCAACCTAACATGTTCCACACTACGGTGATGCCTTTATTTGCGCTACTAAAGCGCATTCAAATTTGCGTTTATGGAAACTAATACGTAGCTCTTTTGCAGGATTTTCCTTCTGTAGTATTTTAATACCTAAAACAACTGTTACAATATATCAAAGTGCAAGTTAATCTTTGCCAAAAAATCCCTGATGCATACATTCGTTTTCTTAAAATATAACCAGTTCACAAACACATTGGCAATTGTCTGAAAACTTAAACATGCACTTAAGCTGTAACATATGTATTGTTTATTGTTGTGTGGCTGCACCAAGTTGTTATGACCAAACTACACCAGCTGGAACAAGAGGCCATATTTAACTGTGTATACTATGTGTGCATATTTATGTAAGAATGCAAACCG